TAGAAGCGCACCAGTCCCGAACTAGAGATTTTCCCCACAGGGTAAGCATTCGGGACAGAATGACTTTTATGAACAGCATGGTCGTGCAATTTCATTGATAAATTTGGCGCAGGGCAATGCTTCCCACATACAGATGCACAAAAGCAAAACAGCAGTCAACGCCGCATTGAACGCAGGTTCAGCCAACTTCTCAGTCGACCTAACCATATCAAGCACCAACGCAATTTGTATCGCATTAGCAACTACCACCACAATAACAATCATATGTGCAAGCATATGAAAAACAAACGCAATTAATTAGACAATGCAATTTCCATCCAAGAAAGTATAATCAGGCCTACTACAGCGACAACTAACGCAGCAACAGTCACAGAAATTATTTTAGTTTTGCTGTCACAGGTAACTAAGGAATAAAATTGGTGTTGTTTTTCATTAAAAAAAAAAAATCTGAGATCTTAATTTATTTATTCAGTTTTTGTTAATGTTTTAAAAGTTACTCCCTGACTTCGTTTATTTGTTTTTAAAATCAAATTTATTAACAAAAATAGGACAAAATTAATTTAAAACTTTATTAATAAATTAATTTATAATTAATTAGAGATTAAACAATCTACATTTTTAATGTAATTAAATTTTAAAACAAAAATATTTAAAAGAAATTTAGAATTATTAATTGCAATTAATATAAATAATTTTACATTAATATAATTAATTTTTATTAACATATACATAAATATTGTTTGTTTTAACTAAAATTATTATTATTTATATTTATTTTGTACACTTCTGCTCCAGTTTATTTCAAAATGCAAAGATCACCAATACGTACACGCAACTTCACAACAACAACAGAAAATCAACATGAAACCCCAATACACACTTCAGATTTAAACATTTCACAAAATATACAAACTAATTGTTTTCCAAACTTGAGTGCAAATTTATCAAAATCTATTAAGTTGCCTCATTTTTGGGAAAATTGTCCTGAAGCATGGTTTCTCCTTGTGGAAGGACAATTCGAAATTAACAACATACGTGATGATAGTATCAAATTTCAAAACGTTTTAGTTTTTCTTCAAAAAGAATCAATTTCTAAAATTATTAATGTTATTAATCGGCCTCCTTTGATTAACAAATATGAAACAATTAAGAAAGTTTTATGTGAAAGATGTTCTCTTAGCGAAGAGAAGAGATTAGAACAATTATTTTCAAATACCGAACTAGATGATCAGTCACCATCAGAACTTTATATACATATGAAGTCTGTAGCAGGTTCCAAATCAATTGTTAGTAAAGGACTTTTATTTAAATTATGGAGTAGGAAGTTACCGCAACAAATACAAATTCATATAACTTCTTGTAATAATCAAAGTACTGAAGAAATTATTTCTCTTGCAGATAAATTATTTGATTTGATAAATAAACCCCAATCGTCTAAACCTTTTAATGTCGCCAGTGTAGAACATTTACCAAAATCTTAACAAAATTACAGAAGATATTAATGAATTACAAATTAGATCAAGATCAATAGATAGAGATAGAGACAGAAGTCGTTCTGTATCGGGAAATTTTTCTAGATCTAGAAACGATATTAACCAAAATATTTGTTGGTATCATAGGAAATTTAAAAATAATGCTTTTAAATGCATTCAACCTTGTACTTTCAACAAAAATTAAAACGAAGAAAATTCTAATGTTTTAAACTAGATCGTTCCATTATGACGGTGGCTAATAATGGAAATGAAGTTAAGCCATCTCGCCGCCTATTTATTTATGATAAATCCAATAAATTAAATTTTTTAATCGATACTGGTGCAATCGTTTCGGTCATTCCTTCTTCAAAATTCAAATCACATAAAAGAAATTCAGATCTTAATTTGACTACAGCTAATGGTTCTTCTATTAAAACTTATGGTACAAAACTTTAAAAAATTGATCTAGGTTTAAGACGCGATTTTGAATTCCCTTTCATATTAGCGGATATTTCAACCCCAATGATAGGCGCTAACTTTTTGGAGATATTTGGTATATTAGTTGATATTAAAAATAGTGAAATTACTGATTCAACAACAAAATTGAAAGTTTCTGGATCATCTGGTTTTGGCGATATATTTTCAAAAAATAAATTTTCTAAACTTTTAAATGATTTTCCTTCAATTACCTGTGAACCAGATTACACTAAACCAGTGCAACACCAAACGGTTCGCAGAATTGAAACAAAAGGAGTGCTACCTTTCTCTAAACCACGTCGTCTTGATCCAATTAAATTCAAAATATCAAAAACAGAATTCGAGTTTTTAGATAAAACAGGTATATGTAGGCCTTCACACTCTCACATTGCATCTCCTTTACATTTAGTTCCCAAAAAAGAACCAAATGATTGGAGACCTTGTGGAGATTATAGAAGACTTAATTGCATTACTA